CAGATTTACCATTCCTGGTGGGGAGCAGGTGAACAGGAATCGGAAGGAAAAACTGGATGCACAGTGTGATATCCTCAGTTTTTGGAACTTTCCAAAAGGACTCAGACTAAGGTGAAAGGAGGAAAGTGCTCCCCACAATTCCCACGTAGGTAACAATCGTCTTTATGGGAGGAGAGGGGAGGGAGGGCCTCACGGTTCAGACAGATGAGCCAGATGCAGTCACAGCGCTTCACATGCAAATAAGTGAAGTCCTGCGACGGGTTTCATGCATTGTCTAGGCTCACTGAGAGCACACAGAGAGAGACCTTTAGTCACGCCCGGGCTCTTCTCACTGACTGTGATAGGTACAGGGGAAAACAGTGATGCAGCCATAGGTTTGCAGCGTTCAGTGTGCTTGGGATCTGAGTGGTTGGTTGACAGTAAGTGGAGACAGGAAGTTGTTAACGGCCTGAGACTGAAACACTGCAGTCATTACATGGAGGAAATCCTTTCCTCTGTAATACATCTATGATTTCCCACAGAGGCCGAGCTCTGCTGTGGTGCAAGCTGTCACCCGGGATTCAGGAAACTCCCTGGGGAGGGAAAGGCTGTCTGCTATTAGGACTGCACACCCTGTCCCGAGGACCAGGCTTCCAATGAGACAGGAGAGCGCGGGCCTCGCGGGTGATTTCTGCAGGTCTTCCATTCTCCCCCATCTGTGAAAGAACAGGAGAGCCCTGGAAGAGACGGCAGAGGCACATTTCTTCTGGCCTTCAGTTGGTATTTTCATGGATATCATCAACAGCGTCTCCCTAACAGTAACCCAATTTCTGTCCATATCTTTTTTTTTTAAAGTGGGGATCGAACTCATGACCTTGTGCTTGCCAGGCAGGCGCTTATGCCACTAAGCTAAATCCCCAGCCCTCTGCCCACATCTTGCAGTACTTTTTTGACTCGCTGTTTTAGTCACATTGCAGGGAATGTGGATCTGAAGAGAAGCCCTTTGGCAATCCAAAAGTGACAAGTATCTCTCCACAGATCCTAACTTAAGGTACAGACCTACCTTAGCTTAAACCGTGAACAAGCCCAGTCAAAGGCAGCTCGCCACATCCTTGGTTCCAAGTCTTCAGAAATGTTCTTGAAACAGAGCCGACCATCACACAGGTTGCTTGTGGTCACAAAACACATATTTCCATGATGCACAGCAGGCTGCACAGCAGCACATAATAGCTGCAATATTGTGCGTCTCTTATTTCACATGAGAATAAGGAGAATAAGGACTCCACAGATAGAGCTGTGCATTCAAGGAAATCTCATAAGGCTTCCATAAAAGCATGCACAGAAGCCAGGCGTGGTGACTCATGCCTGTAATCCTAGCACTCAGGAGGCAGGAGGATCTTTGCAAGTTGAACACTAGCCTGCACTACACAGTGGGCTCAAGGCCAGCCTGAACTGCATAGCAAGACCCTGTCCCAAAAAGACAAAAATCGAAAAAAAAAAACAAAAACAAAAAAAAGTACACACAGAGAACTCTGCTGTGATAGAAGAAAACATCGCCATTTTGGGGTGGATCCCTGGGCTTTGTGAGAAGGGTCGGAATTGTTGGGAGGTCAGTGAAACGTGGCATAATCTGTCTTTATAAAAGGGAGAAGAAACAGTGAAAATATAAGTGAAAGACTGAAATAAAAAGAAATTACAGTTTCTATATTTGAAAATTTTTTCTCAGGGTCTTCAGAAATGGTCACCTTCAAACACTACTACTGTGTGTACTATCTGGATAACATAAATTTCAATGTGAATGGAGGGATGCGTATTTGGACAAAAGGTAGAAAACAGAGAAATCAATATTGAGAATTTGAATGTAGTACCCCGTGAGTATTGGGAAAAATAACAGTAGCATCAGCAGAAATATTGTATTAGAAAGGAAATATTAAGAGGGTTTTAGTCATATAAATTATTGCCTAAATGTAAAGCCAAAAAGTATTAGAGAAGTAATCATTGACTGTACTAGTTTCTAAATACAAGGTTACGGGATCCAGCCATGGTGGGACTTAGGCAGCTTATTCTTCTGCCCTCTTGGTAAGTGCCCCAACATGGGCCAGTGCTCCCGTGAGCCTATCGGTGCACAGGCTGAGAATCAAACACCCCCATAGCTACTGGGGATAGATGTCTCAGCATGTCTTAGGAGGATGTCCATATGCAGTATAGCAAATATGGGGGATTTCCTTCTATCTTCTGTTTGAAGGCAGAGGTTATTTTCACTGTTTTGTTTTGCTTTGGGTTTTTTGCTCTATTCAATACTCTTTTCAATTGGTTTTATCATGTTCAGTTTTTGGTTTGATTTCGCTATATCTGGACAACTATTGTGAAAATAACAAGATATACCATAGTACCTATTGCTACCATCCCAGTATCCTGCTGTGAACCTCTATACCAATTTCACTGCATTGTCTCAGTTGGCTTTGTTCTGTCTTGTTCTGTTGTGTTTTTACTACCTTCAAAATAAAATTTTAAAAAAAGAAAGCTTATAGTAAATATGAGGTTGGTGAAAAGAAATTTTCCTTTCTTTGTAGTTGTTATGTTGTATTTGGAAAATAAACTTTAAAGGACGGTGTTTACAGTATTTCAAAATGACAAATTACTTAGCAACAAATTTCATGAAAACTTTGAAAGTCTTTTTTTTTTTTTTTGTCTTTTTCCTTTTTACCAGTACCAGGGATCGAACTCACGACTGTCTGCTTGCAAGGCATGTGCTTATGCTGCTGAGCTAAATCCCCAGCTAAGTCTTTTTCTCTTAAATTTATTGAAAATCACTTAGAAAACATAAGATGAAATTCATAGATAAAGATGGCCCATTGCTGGACGTGGCCTTGAACAGCCATAATACCAGCACTGGGAGGCTGAGGGCAAGAGGAACAGAGCACGTTTGAGACCAGCCTGGGCTATACAGTGAGCCAAAGGCCAGCCTGACCGCATAGTGAGACCCTGTCTCCAAAAGACCACAAGAAAAAGATGGCTTTGCCATGGCTGGGAACACTCAGCATTGGGAAACTATCGGCACTGTCATATTTGATCTGCTAACTCAGTGGAAGGGAACAAAATGTCATATTTTCTGGTGGAAATTGCAAATTGTGGCTTGAGAGATCTTACTTTTTGTCTCAGTCCTGTTTTTGTCTCTTGGACAAAATACTTGACAGCAAAACGGGAAGCAGGAGACAGTTTGCATATTTAGTGGCAGCTGGCTGGCCCCAGGCACAGAGGCAGGGAGCAAGGGTCTGGCAAGAGAGGCCCTCACCTCATGGCAGCCAGGAGTTGAGATCGAGGCGGGCTTAATCCTTCTGCATCAGCCCCAAGTAACCCACCTTTTCTGACCACACCCAACTTTCTCATCTGTAACTCAGTCATTCCAGATACATGACATTCACCCCAGAATACAGAATTTCTTGTCATCTTATACCCTCGGAATTTGGCAAATCATCTTGGCCAGGGTGTTTGCTCCTGAGAACTTGTCCCTTGAATGATGCAACCACAGCAACAGCTTCTAGAGGTACTGTTAGGTGTTTTTTGTCCTCTCAAATTTTATATGTTGAAACACAACCCCAAAGTAATAGCATTAAAATATCGGTCGTGACTAGGTCACTAGGTCTCGACCTTCACTGATATTACCCATACCCCTAAGCAAGTTTGGGGGTGTCCATTTCTCTCGGCTGCTATGTAACAATACAGCAATAGGGGACCACAGTGTAGGTAAAGCCATGCCCATCAGAAGAGTCTTCATTGGATGCAGGCAGCTTATTCACCTGCCCTCTTGGTAAGCACTTGTGGCATGGGCCAGGAGGAGAACCAGCACTCCCAAGATCCAGCCATGGTTGGACTCAGGCAGCTTATTCACCCGCCCTCATGGTACGTGCCCCAGCGAGGGCCAGAAGGAGAACGATTACCTGTAAGCCTACTGCCACTCAGGCTGAAAATCAAGCACCCTTCCCCCTCCCACTCCCCATAGCTACTGGGGATAGATGTCTCAGCATCTCTTGGGAGGATGTCCATACGCAGTATAGCTAATATGGGGGATTTCCTTCTATCTTCTGTTTGAAGGCAAAGGTTGTTTTCACTGTTTTGTTTCATGTTTCTTTTGCTCTATTCAGTACTCTCAATTGGTTTATAAAATTATAAATGTTCTATTTTTGGTTTGATTTTGCTATACCTAGTTGACTGGACAACTATTGTGAAGTCAAAGAGATACACCATAGTACCTATTACTACCATCCCAGTATCGTACTGTGAAATCCTGTACCAATTTCACTGCATTGTCTCGATTGGCTTTGTTCTGTCTTGTACTGTTGCATTTTTACTACTTTCAAAATAAAATTTAAAAAAAGATTCTTCATCAGCTGCCGCTTTGACCTGGAGCTACAGTACCCACAATAATCAATTCATGCTTTTATCAATTATCCAGTCAGAGATACTGCACTGTAGCATCGTGAATGTACAAGGCAGTAGGAGTTTGGTTCTGCAGTGAGATAAGAAAGTGATTGCATAACGATGTAAACTCAGTACTGAGAGGCAAGCCAGGCGTGGTGCTGCATGTCATAATCTCCGCACTTGGGAGGGTGAAGCAGGAGGATTGCAGTAATGCTCTAAGTATAATCTAGGATTACTTTTAGTGGATAAACAGGTCTCACTTTTTTTTCAAATAATAGTGCACTCACTACAGCTTGCAGTCATTAAATTATCAGTATTATGACTTTTTGTCCTCCAATTACACTTACAAGTAACCGCCATTCTTGGTTATTTTCACTTGTAGATTTGACCTTTATATATGCTCCCATTTAGCTTTGTAAATACATTTTCAAATTTGTGTCACAGACACCCGCAAAGCTTCCTTATATCAAGCTAGACTTGGTTTTCCAATTACTCAAGATCATTTAGAAGATTTTCTTTAATTTTGCCAGAAATGTGAAATATTGCCTCCTTAATAAACCCAACTCCTGCATTTATATGTTTCTGAATTACTTAATATATTATATTCACTTAATGTAATTTGCTTTAATAGTTCATAATTTGCTTTTGAAGAGAAACACACACTTGTCAAGTCAAAGTAAATTTGGCCCAAATGGGACAAAGACTTATACAATGAATCTTGGCATAACAGCCCTTGCATAAATTGAAAACTAACATAGTATACAGCTTACTTTAGGAATACATTTTTGTAACAAATCACTGAAGCTGAGCTTTACCCAGTCACAAAAAGTCAATGTTGTCTGGCATGGCAGCACAGCCTGTAATCCCAGCACACACGGGAGGCTGAGGCAGGAGGATTGCTGTGAGTTCCAGGCCAGCCTGGGCTACAAAGTGAGTTCAAGACCAGGGTGAATTGTATAGTCACACACACACACACACACACACACACACACACACACACACAAGCACCAGAGTTGAAATTAGGCAAACCCCCAATGGTACCCAATCTGCTTGTTTATGTACCTCTTTTCTGTTCTCTTTTTTTCTTTTCTTGAGGCAGAATTTCACTTTATAGCTCATGATAGCCTTGAACTCACTATGCAACCCAGGTGGATGGCCTCAAACTCATGGTGATCCTCCTGTCTCAGCCTCCCAAGTGCTAGGATGACGTGTTTGCCACTACACCCGTTTCTACCTCTGTCTCTAGAACCCCGAACCCCCTTTTTGATGTCTGATTATGTCTCCACAAACATCATCATTTTTAAAAATGGTATACAGGCCACAAATCTGTATCTTGTGTGGGTTAGAACATGGTCTTTATGTCTAACATTTCTCTACAATTTCTCCCCCTATTATGAAGAACGGTGTGACTCCCAAAATCGGGCGATTGCCTTGTGCTTTGACTCTGAAGTCTTCATATGTGTAAAGACGACGGGGCAGTTCCTGTCTTACACACTGTCTCCCAGTCACTGTGATTCATCATTTTAATTCACGGGATCCAGTTGCTAAACGTTCGGGAAGAATTTTCTGTTCTAAAATACGAAAGCGAGCAAAATCAGCAGAGGGCTTATCCACGGAATCCGCAAGTGCCTGTTTGACCGCAGCCTCCTGCTTAGGACCATGCAGGACGCGGTGGGTCCGTGGAGGTTCCCTTGTGCTCTCCGTCCCTGCTCTCGCAGGTTAAGGGAGAGAAACCACCTAGGGCTGGGGCAGTGACAGCAGCTGCCTTGCCTGTGTGGTGCCTCCAGGGCCCCAGCAGCAGCCCAGCTGTGCCGGGCAGAGCTGAGCTCTGCAGAGAGCGCTCTTCCAGGCTGGGCAGACCTGAGCTCATCAGCAAGCTGGTGAGGAGGTGACACCCCCTGGCACATGTTCCCCAAAGCCATCAGTACTGCGAAGTCCACGGCCGGGCTGCTGCCAGGCAGGAATTGAACCCGGGGGCCGTTGGTGCTCCGCACAGCGAGGGTAGCCAGCGGGAGTTGGTCTTAGGGATCTGCGCTGCCACCCATAACCTATGACTCGGACGTCCCCAAGAGCTGGTTCCCGGGGGCTCCCGCAGCTACCTCCCTGCACCACCACTCGGGAAGCGGGAGCCGTGTGCTAGGTGTCACACCTGGTTTCCGGTGGCCATAGAATTCCTGCTCCTGGGCCAGGCACAGAGATCAGCGGCACAGCGCCTGGCTGGCGCGCGAGGCCCTGGGTTCAGTGGCTGCTCCAAAAAAAGAAACAAAACTTTCTGTTCCTATACAATTCACAGTCTGTTCATCTACCTCAGGGCCAAAGTGATCCTCAGCACAAAGGGAACCCCGAGAACACAATGCGCGGGCCACTGACCCCCAGAGCTGGGAGCTCAGGCAGGTTCTGCAGAGCCTGAGAGCGCGCATGCGCAGTGCGGGGGCCCCCTGCCGGGCAGGTTCTCGTCTGCATCCGGGACCCTGAGCCCGGCAAGGCGCCCTCTTGCGCCGGGTTCCCGCGGGGACCCCTCTTCCTCTTCCGTGCCCCGGGGAGCACGCCTCACCCTCGGGCCGTGTTGTGTCTCTCCAGGCTCTGTCCGTGGCTGACCGTGGCCTCGCCCCGCTGCGACCCAGCTGCTCCCCGGTGGCCGGTGCTGGGACCCGCTAACCTCGTCCTCCCTCCAAATCTTCACCTTTATCTGCTCTGTGAGAGCAAATACTGTGTCACTGCTGCCCCCTGACGAATTCCGCCGGTTATTCCTGTCAGCTTGACCGGACTAAGGGTTCCCGAGGAGGCAAGGGGGTTGCAAACGCGTTGACCTCATCCGATTAACATGACGATGAGTGCGTGATCGAAAAGGACATGAGGATTGAAAGAAGTGGGTCGTGGGCTGTCCGGACAGTCCAGCACAGTCTTGACAATTCCAGCTCTGCGGAAAACTCAAGCAAACTCTTAGCTATCAAAAGGAAGTTAAGTGGTGCTGACACCCAGTGGCACAGGGTAGACGTTACCATTCCAAAAGGGAGAAATGACAAATAGAAACCAGCAGGGAAAATATGAAATCGTGTAGTTCCGTGTCCTGCACCCAGGGCAAACGGTGAGGGTGAGCTGTTTACTCCGAAGGGCTTGGAAGGCCCATCCCTACCGCACTGGCAGCGGTGGGCGCCCTCCCAGCATCCCCCTCAAGCTGGCTCTGCTCGCTCCTCTCAGCTGTTCTCAGAGACCCCTGTTCCTGCTTCTGCAGCTTCTAGGGGTATTGCAGTTTCCTCCTTATTCTCACACTCCAGGCATTGCCCTCTCGGGGGTCTGTTCCCTGGTCTCCCAGCCTTCCTCTGAATTCTGGGGGAAAGCCACATTGCCGTGTAACTAGCAAACCAGTTTCTTGTGCTTCTTAGTTAACGTGTAGCACAGTTACTTGTATTCTGCCATATTATGGTACTATGGAACTATTTTATGGTACTGTTTCTGCCTGTGAACCCTAGGACCATCTTTGATCAGCTGTCTTTATATAGATAACTGTTATAGCATAGTTCTAACCATTGCGCCTCATTTCTGTTTTGTATGCACAGCTCAGCCCCGCCCCCCTCCTTCCTATCTTTCTAGGTTAAGTTTCAATTTCCTGAGAAAGCTGTAAAAGCCTTAGGTATCAGTTTCCTGTAACCCCCTCCCCACCCCTCATCCAACTATCTGTAATAAAATGTGCTGTCCTTAAGAAACGTTTAACTACAAGGAAGTTATCAAACTGGGTCAAAGTTCGCAACATTCCTGTGGTTTTTAGCTTTAAAAACTTAATCCCTCAGCTGTGAGGCACAGAGGCTCCCAGGGATTGTGTCCCCAAGCCTGGCCTAAAATAAAGCCTTTGCTCCCCAAATTTTAATTTCTTGCTTCCTTGGGTTTTATTCCGAGGTCCGAGCTATCACATTTGGGGGCTCGCCTGGGATGGGAACAAGACCCCAGACTCATTTCTGAACATTTGAAAGTAAGTACTCTGGAGGGTTTGTTTGGGCCACGGTCAGTTTGTACTCTTGGGGAGGGGACACCCTCAATTTGGGAAGCAGAGACCTCCTGAAGACAAAAATCAATTGCTTTTTGGGACAAATCTTGTCCATTTGTATAGTTTTCGGGACGAACTTCATCCATTTGTGACTCTGCCCCAGGTAGGGAACCGCTCCATTGGTTAATTTGTTAATTCCTCCAGATCCCAAAATTTGACCAATTTTTGAGCACAGGCCATTTTGCTGCAGCTTGTCTTGTCTTGTATGTCTGTTTGTGTGCCCATTTGTTCTAATTGTTCTCCTTTTGGTTACCCCAAATCTAACAGAACATTCTCTCCTAGGAACCCCTTCTATGAGCGCAAAATGGACAAAGGGATTTAGATATTTATGTTCAGTGTTTTTGTACTTTAGAATTTTCTGCCTGTTTAAATTTGTTACTAACTGAGGGGCTTGCTGCCCATTTCTGTTGCAGGATCCATATGGCTTATTAGACTTAAGGTTCATAATAAAAAAATTATTTCCTTTAGCTCACCAAACTGCACGAAGCAGCCTTTGCATCTTTAATGTTGTAGTGCCTTGTTTAATGTTTTAGTCCTCAATTAATTATTTGCAACCTCAGCATGCCTTTTAAAAAAGAGTATTTTCTTTCTGGTTAAAATGTAAACATATGTGCACATATATATGTATATTTATGGTTTTTAAGAATCATATCAACTTTACCAAGTAAAAACCAGGTCATACTATATTTGAGCCAGTTAAAAGGTTACCGTTTTTTTTAAATACAGCATTTTAATATGGTAAAAAGACATAAAATAATTAAATATGTTTTAGACTACTAAAAGGTGACTTCAAGGGTTTTGTTGAGAGTTTTAATATATGAGAAGCGAGAGGAAAGGTAATTGACTGGTAATAGTAAGAAAAAAGGGACAAAGAAAGTGGTTTTGTCTTCAAGTAAAAATGTCTGGCTGGGCCAGAATGTGGAAGAAGATAAAAGCTCAACTTGAGGGTATACTGTAAGTTGTAGAAAGCTCGAGAGGATGTGAATTTTATTTGTCTTGGTTTACAGTACTGCAAATAACAGGTTTGACAAGAAGTAAATTTGACAGTATTAGATCAGTTCTGGTAGATTTATTCATAAGATTGGTAAACCTTTGCTGCAAAATGTTTCCATTAAAATGAGATTATAGGCATCTCCCACCCAGGGACCACACTACCACCACTGCCAGCTGGAAGGAGAGGGCCCAGCCGAGCAGAGAAGACTCCGGTCCGGCCCTGCCTGCTGCCTCTCCCACCCGGGGACCACGCTACCACCGCTGCCGGCGGGAAGGAGAGGGCCCAGCCCAGTGGAGGGGACTCAGGTCTTCCCGCTGCCTCGTCTGGCCAAGGAGCACACCACAGCTGCTGGTCAGAAGGAGAGAGCTGGGCCGAGCTGCTGAAACCTGCTCTGACCTTGCCTGCGACCTTCTTTTGATCTGGAGAGCACCAGCACTACTGCCACTGCCCGGAGGAAGGAGCAGTCCTGCTGAGGAGGTTTGAGGCCTACTTAGGCCATAAGGGAATCTTCCATAAGCCTGGGGAGTTTTGCCATCCAAGGAGCTGGATTGTTACAAAACATCCAATTCCTGGGAGATTATGAGATCCTTACTCTAGGGGGTTGGGGGCCCAATGGGCTTGCAGCCACACTATACTGGGCTTAGCAGGATTTGGGATTGCCTGGACCACACCAAGTGGCCTTCTATCCATCAGGGGAGCTTTGCTACCAGAAGGGGAAACTGAAAATTGAGGAGGCTTTAGGTCTACCTGAGAGGAGCCTGGCGAGCCTCTTTTAATCCAGGGGCTCCACTGCCCAAGGAGGGAGCTACTACCAGACAAGTCCCAAGAGCCCAGGACATAAGAGTCAATTTACAACACGACCAGGGGAAACTGGAACAACACTTGAAACACAGTAATATAGGAAAATGACAAAACAAAAGACCAAAATGCAATCTCAAACATCCAACCCATCCCAAGAAAGCCTAGGAGTGATGTACATAGAAGAAAATACATGCCATATACCTGAAATACCTGAAATAATAGTAACCAAAATAAAGAAGCAGCTCCAGGAATCTTTAAAGGAATTCAAACTAGAAATAATCTATCAGGTAAAAGAAGAAATAATAAAAGAAATGAAGGAGATGCTGAACATATCTAAAGAAGACACAGCTAAAAAATTGGAGGAACTAAACAAAAGGATAGAATCTCTGGATGAACAATATAAGAAACAAACAGAATATATATATATATATAAAACAGATGCAAATAGATATACAGGAAATCAAAAACTCCACTGAAAGTTGTAAAAACCACCTGAATGAATGCGGAGATAGAATTTCAGACCTCGAAGACAAGATTGCAGCTAGTGAACAGGAAAGGAAAGATCCTTTTAAAATAACAAGAAATCAAGAAATAACAATTCAACACCTGCAAGATGACGTGAGAAAAACAACATAAGGTTGATAGGGCTAAATGAAAAAGGAGACAATACAAAGCATGTCAAGAGCATATTTAGAGAAGTAATTGCTGAAAACTTCCCAAACATGAAATTGGAAACTGATATCAGGATCAATGAGGCATATAGAACTCCAAATAGCCATAAGCAAAATAAAACTACACCCAGACATATAATAATCACCATTCCAGAAATTGAACAAAAGAATAGAATATTAAAAGCTGTCAGAGAGAAAAGACAGATCACCTATAAAGGAAAGCCTATCAGAATCACAGCAGACTTCTCAACACAAACAATAAAGGCAAGAAGAGAATGTAGTGAAGTATTTCAGAACCTAAAGGAAAATGATTTACAACCGAGACTGATGTACCTGCAAAACTGTCCTTCAAAATTGATGGAGAAATAAGATACTTCCACGACAAAGAACAGCTGAAGAAATTTATGATCACCAAGCCAATCCTGCAAAGAATACTGAAAGACAGTCTAGATTCACTTAAGTAAAAAACCACTTAACAAAGCAGACAATTAAATAGAACAGAAAGATAAAGATGCAACAGCAGAAATATAACATGTCACCAATAAACCAATATATAACAGGTGTAACCATTAACGTAAATGGTCTCAATGCACTAACTAAAAGAAATAGACTGGCAGAATAGATCAAGAAACAAAATCCAACCATATGCTGTCTACAAGAAACCCATCTAACCCAAAAGAATACTCACAGACTGAAAAAGGATGGAAAACAATACTTCATGCAACAGGAACCCAAAAAAAGCGGGAGTAGCTATTCTGTTTGCAGACAATGTGAACTTCAAACCAATAATGATCAGAAGAGATAAAGCAGGTCACTACATACTGGTTACCGGAAAACTTCAAGAGGAAGAGATAACTCTCTTAAATAAATATGCACCAAATTCCAAAGCACCCAGTTATGTAAAACAAGTAATATCAGAAATGAAAAACTAAGTTAACAGTAATACAATTATAACAGGAGATTTTAACACACCATTGACACCAATGGACAGATCAATAAGACAGAAAATCAGCAAAGAGATAAAAGAACTGAATC